ATCTAGTTACGGCCCTCACAGTGCTGGTGGGAAGGGGATTTATTGAGGATGTCAAGGGAGCAGTCTGACCCTGGACCATTCCCAAAGGCCAGAGTCATAAAACAAGGCTGTAATTTCCCCAATTTCACAAACACAGCACCTTAGCTGTGTCTGCTTCCCTAGTGATAGGGTGATTACACTGTCTTCTTAAGGAAGATTAATGACCAGAGGCTTGGGGTGTACATCAATGGCAGAGGTGGGCAGAGGTGGGCTGAGTCCAGGCCTCGGTGGTAAGTGAGAAGAGGGGCAGGAGGGTGTGGGGGGGTACAAAAAAGTCAGGAATTCGGAGGCCATCGCTCCCTCACTCTCTAGGAGGCAGATAGTTCTGATAGAAGGGTGACAGTCCTAGGAACCTGAGTGCCAGAGGACAGACAATCTACAGTGGCACAGTGTCTGAGGTGGCCACTTGCTCTGGAGAGAAGGGGTTAATTAAAGAGAACTGAGCAGAGGCAGCCAGCTGCTCTGCAGAGCTGCTGACAGCACAGGCATTCGGTATGGAGGGAGGGTGGAGACATCGTTCCACACGGAAAGCTCATGCTCAGTGGAGTGGGGACTGAGGCGAGCATGAAGAAGTCCCTGGCCTCAGAAATGGCCCCTCCTGAAATAAAGCATCCGAAGATGTGGTGTGGACAGAGATGTTGGAAGGGAAAGCACCAAGAAGCTAGAGGCAGGAATATCACACAAGGTACATGAGGCTGTCAAGGAAACACAGTTCAAGGACTCAGGACAGAGGTTCTGAGCTCACTGCTCTTGGGAGTAATGGAAATGAAGCCTATCCTTCCAGCAGCCAGAGGAGATAGATATATACAAACCATCCTCCTATCAGCCTTATACAGGAAAAGAAGCTGTATGACTCACAAATTTACCACACCCCACCGTGGCTTCCTGAGACTGTGGAATGTTAACTAATGTGGCTACAAAACAGACTTCTGGTTCTAAGTCCAGACAATCCATTGCCACAGAGTGACAGACAAGGAAAGGCCAGGGAGTCATATCAGTGGGGAACCTGGTAATTCAGAGAGGGGACAAGATGACCACAGCCTGCTTTTCCATGGACCCATCCCATCAAATAAATACCTGGTCACTGAGATCCATTCAGTCAAATGTGAGCTTTAAGTTTATAAGAATGACAGTAAGAAAGGTAAATAGCAAAGGAGGGATAGAAGAAAATAGCTGGAAAGGGAGAGGAGGCAAAGATGCAACTTGGGTTGGGGACAGACAAATTGAAACGTGCCAAAGAAAGATAAAGGCCAATTATCCCAAGGCCCTGGTGGGAGAGATTAAAATAGCTACCCTGAGCTTGTGGACATGAGAATGACTAGACCAGAAGTCAAGCAGAGTGCTGCTGCTCTCAGTGACTATTCAATGTCCAGTCACAAGAGCAAGAACAAAGGATACACCTTTATATAAAGGACTTCTGAAACACCTCAGCCGAAATACATCAGGCTTGTAAGTGTTCCGGGAAAGTAGACACATGCAATCGCTCATGATGATTATTTCATGAGGAAAAAAAAAACAAAAACAAAAACAAAAACATATAGGGGGTGAGGGTGGGATCTGAAAGTCACAAAAATACTTACTAATTCTCCCCCTCCCATCTTTCCTGCATACTCCTGCAACATGATTTTGGAGCTTTTCTCATCAAGGAACACACTGTTTCTCTACGGCCTTGCTGCTGGTAAGTCCACATGAACCCACGAACTCAGCCATTGCCTATTTGACAACCCACGTTGACACGGTCCTACCATACCCATAACTATGTAAAAGATTGTAAAATGTTTTAGTGCATATGCCAATATCTTCCAACAATAAGAACCATAGCAACATCAATTAAATGCTTAATGAATGCATGCTATTTTTTAAGTACTCCCCATGTATCAGTTCACTTAAGCTTCACAGATGCCTTCATCAGGCCCATTAGCCACTTGACAGAGGAGGATGGCAAAGTCACAGAAACTAAGCAATCTGGCTAAGGCCTTTGTTCTTGCATAACCTCTTGAGGTTGCACGTTGATTAGTCACCTAGAGCAGCAGCAGTCTGCTTGACCTGTGTCCAGTCAGTCTTGTGTACACAAGCCCAGTGTTAACTGTTTTAACCTCTCCCACCAGGGCCTTGGGATAGTTGGCCTTTATCTTTCTTTGGGACTTTGGCTAAGGTAAAGCAGAGACTCCTGGAATTAAACCCCAACAATCCATCTCCACAGCCTGCCCTCTCTCTCTGTTGTGTCAGGGTGTTCCAACTCCGCAGCTAGAAAAAGTTAAGTGACCGTGTTCTGACTCCTGGTAAAAATGGCTTGTCTTCAAAGACTCATAAATCATCTGTGAAATAAGGCATTCTAGAACTGTACCAGGACTCATAATGAAGTCAGCAGACTGGAGATGCCGGATACCTAGTTTTGTGATAACTGCTATCTATTTCCTCATCTCCTCACTTCTGGGACTTCTGCTGGTTTCCAGGTTTCATCAAAATGACTGGCAACAGATCTTCACCAGAAGGTCTCTTTCCTCTGTGTCATGAGATGCAGGAGATGTAGCCCACAGCCTCTGCAACCACTTAAGCAAAGAGGCCAGCTCTCTTCCCTCTTCCTTGTGTGCCATGGGCATCAATTTATGACTAACTGCTAATTCTATATTTTGCAGTCCATCTCCATCTCCTTGACAGAGAACAGACAGGGGAAACCTCCCCTTTCTCTCTGTGTTCTGGACCACAACATCACCCTCCCCAGGCTACAAAACTGCTAGGGATCCCCAAAAAAGACTACCCTACCACCCCAATCTCTCTGGAATCCCACCCAGGCCTGAGGTAACTGAAAATCAAAGGATATGATTGGCTACCAATTACATCACTGCTCCAGAGGCCTGATTAAACTCTTAATTATTTGAATGCCACTTTCTCTCTACACTTAACTCCACAGACAAATAAATAACCACAAAGGGAACAACACAGGTGACAGTGGTAATAAATGATAGTTCCTGGCTCAGGTAGGAGAGAGAAACCATTTGCTAGAGGCGTCTGTCATTAAGAACAATCCAGTCACCAGGTGGGGACATACAGCTCTCTATATTAAATTAGAGGAATGATTCAAAGGGGACCAGTTTCAGCTGACAAGAGCAAAAAGAAAATCAATTTCAGGTTGCCAGGACAACTAGACTTTTCCTGCAAGAATAAATCTGATACAGCCCTAAAATCTGACAACTAAATGTTTCCTTGCATTACATCACAGCCCAAAGACGTATGCTGAACCAGTGAGATAATCAAGACTGCTAATTACTTTCTACAGCACCCATAAGATAGAGAATTGATAGTTCTCGCTCCCGTCTGCTTTGTCACTAGCAGCTCCAGTTACTCTCTCCATTTTACCATTACCAGGACAGTGTGCTTCTTAAAATAAAGCTAGAGGTACCTCACTGTCAGACCTTGGATCTCAAAAAAGCAAGGCTAGCATCTTTGTAATACAAGGTCCCCAACGGCTTAGATCTATATCCATCTTCCCCACTCTATCATCGGCTGCACAGGGGCCACAGAGGAAGAATCCAAAGTCACATGAATCTCACTAACACGGTCCTAGCCCTGAAGTGGCTTCGGAGGAGGCCCTTGTTTTTTTTTTTTGTTTGTTTGTTTGTTTGTTTTTTTGTTTTTTTTTTTTTACCAGTGAGTGTGAAACCATGGGTCAGTAAAGCAACTGCTCACACTCAATAACCCAGTCAGCAGTAGAGTCAGGATTGCTATCTAGAATGCTTCCTCAAATAGCTAGAGTCATTCCCTCTCTCTGCCTTAGAGACTCCAGGAGCTGAAGCTAAGTCCATTTGATCTCCTACTAATCCCACAGAAGACAGTGACCCCAAATGGCCTTATCCCAGGAGGTCAGAGTCCTGGACCCAGATCCAATAATATCTGATGAGATGAGCCTACTCTATGCATTTATATTCTCGGAAGGCTGAATATCAGCTTATCTCTGGGGGCTATTAAAAACAAGAACAGCTAATAAATCACTGGAAAGCACTTTGCAAATATAAAGTAATACAAAAATGCTAAGCACCAATACTATAAGTGCCTGAGGCTGAGGCTGGTCCCTGGAGAGTGGGGATTTCACATGGGCCAGGCTGGCTGTACGACACAGCTCCAGCACGAGGCCCCAGCAGAAGCTCCCCTCTAAAACTTTCATTCTTCACTCCCAGGCTGCTCCCCAATACTCAAAAACATCTCTAGACTGTACTGTATTATAAAGGACTCTAAAAGACATAGAAAAGGGAGACACTGAGAAGATATCTGTACATCTGTACGCTGGACTAGACCACAGACGGGAAAGCAAATCTCAGGCATTCTGAAGCCTGTGATAAACCAGGTAAACCATGAAAAATAACGAACTCATCAGAAGGTGTTTTGCAGCCAATTTACCCTTGACAGCCAATCCAGGATCTGAGGAGTCAGAATCTGAATAATGCATACATGGGAGTGCTCCAGCTACAGGCGCCATGGGAGGAAGATGAAAAGACAGAGCACTCCTTCCAGGCCACTCGCACAGGTCTCCAGGATGAGAAGGCATAAGAAGAAATCAAAGGTGAGCAGAGTATAAACAAATCAAAAGCTTCGGCCATGCAGAATTCAATCTAACCCTGACGCTGCCATGACAATTGCCATAACCTTGAAGCTTATTAAACATTTTTTTTAATCTGTTCAAAACTTACCACTCGATATAAATAACACATCGACTGCCCAGGCTAGTTTTGACAATTACAAGAAGTTGAGTTATAAGAAGCAATTTATCTCACTGCCTGGTACATACTATGTACGTGCAATCCATGATCTCAGGGTGTCTGGGGCTAGTGTCCAGCACAGAAACAGAGACAAGAGAAAAAGTATGAAGTCAGAGGTCTATACCAAGAGGATGGAAAAGAAAAAACTGGTTCCCCGAAACTCTGCCTTGTTTCTACTTGAGAATGAGCACTGTCTTTACTCACCAAAATTTAATTCAGGACAGGTCATGGCGGCCCAGGGATGGTCAGGCATCCTCAAACCTCAGGCTCTGGTGAAAATTGGAGAAGAGCATTGCCTAACTTCCTGGTCAAGATAGAGCTCAACTCTCTGAATTCTGCCCCTGAAATCTTGGCCTGAGTGTCAAATGTGGCTCCTGGATTCTTATCACAAGACAAAGAAGTACTCTTTGTAGAAGGAAAATGCTCCACCACCTGCCCTCTATATTTAACACATAGAGACATGCCTCCTAGGGAAGAAATAATTAAGAAATAGGTACAGTAACCAGGAAACTAAAACATAAGTTCTCTCTTGCCAGGCATGATGGTGCAAGCCTTTAATCCAAGCACTTGGGAGGCAGAAAAGGTAGATGCTGGAGTTCAAGGACAGCCTGGTCTACAAAGCAAGTTCCAAGATAGCCAGGGCTATACAGAGAAACCCCATCTGGAAAACACACACACACACACACACACACACAAAGTTATTTTACATCTTTCTATCTGGGTCTTACCTCTAGCATTTATTATTTTTATTAGATAATTTTTTTCAAGTGTAGCCCCTCTGAATTAATAATATGCCTTAGCATTTAGGCAACCAGGCCATGGTCTGTAGGGATACCACCCTTGTTTTAAAGGAACCCTGCAATGCAGTAACACACTAGATGAGCCCTTTAGGTCCCATGGCCACTTGTCAGCCACCGTCGCTCCATGTTCTCTGGTTCCCAATACCAGCTCCATCCCACAGCTAGAGCAAGGGGGCAGCTAGGGAAATCTGAGTTTCAATCAGAATCTCCTTCTTCCCAAGTGAAGTGTGAAGTGTCCAGGTGTGAAGAGTCCAAAAGTCTGAGAGGCCAAAGAAGAGAGAGAGGGAAGAAAATCTATGCCTGAGTCAGACCGGAGAGAAGGCAATGCTGACTCAGAATGCCCAGGAGAAAACACAGATGGGAGTGTGAAGAAACAGTCAGAAGACAGGCCAAAGTGAAAGAAGTACTATCAATTTTGCTGGTTAAGGGTACTTCTGTCATATTAATTTTTACAATCCTATTGTTGTTCAGACTTCTGACTTTTGCTATTAAGAACTTCCATTGGCGTGTGCCTATAAAAGTTCCTGCTAAGAGCTAAAACAACAAAGATAGTAACTGACTCTGCTTTACTGGAGAAAGGGGGCAAGATTTGGAAAGGGCTGGTTCCCTCCCTAACTTAAAAGTTTGCTTGTCACTGAATCCTTCAGTTAGACTCCAACCATAACTAGGGGTTAATTCCTAGAGAGTACAGAAAATAAACACTGCTCAGAGTGGGAAACATGCCATCACTTGGGGGTGAATGTGGTAATGATGACAGGAATCGGCCTCCACCAGCCACCCTTCTACCGTTAACTCCGCAGCCTGCAACGCTGGCACTTTTATCTGGGGCTGGGCCTAATCTTGAGAAACCATTATTATTTATTACATATGAAGCACTTTCTATCTGCAGAGTGCTTTGGAATTAGTTTTTTATCAGTTACTCAGCATTCTGAAATCTAAACAAAGCCCAAGCCTTGGTGGACGATGGCAAACTCCAAGATTCCCTGATTCATCACACTGGATAGGTCCACACCCACCTCCGCGGATTGGACAGGGTAAATAAGGAGCAGTGAGAACAGTCAGAACGAGAAAGGCCATGCAATTCAACACTGCCTGAATGAGGCCACCTGGCACTGGGCTAAATGTTTGGAGTTACAGCAGCTCCGGGCCTCAGAATTTATACCCTGGAGCAATTTGAGAGGGCCTCCATGGTCCCCTCTGTGGTTCTAAGAAAGTGTAAATAGGTTTCAAATATCGTGTGAAGGAATGTAGAGCATGTTCCTACATAACTCAAAACCTGAGACATGGTACAGCTACAATTCCACTACCAAAAATGGAAACCAAAGGGGAAAATACAGGACAGGCTTACCTCTCCAATCTTTAATTTCCAGAGTAAGGTAAGAAAGCTCAAACCACAGAAGAGGAACATTTCAGGAAAATGTCTGACAGAGACAACAGACAGGCAGAGAGACAGACATGGAGATAGAATGAAGGAATCAAAGAAATAGTTTAAGAAGAAGGGCTTGCGTTTAAAAGAAGGGCTTGGTTTCCCTAGCACATTCTGTATCTCTGTGAATTACTGTAGAGGGAAATTAGGAAGAACTGAATACATAGCCCCAAACACCGAAGCTCACATTCACTCTACACAACAGATACCTCACAGAACAGTCGAGGTGTATTCGCCACCGGACACAAACACTGAAAGAGAGCCTGAAGGACAAACAAGAGGGAACCTGGGCACACTAGCAATGCATGCAACATGACACTGCATACTCAAAAGGCTGGAGCAGGAGGGTGACAAGTCTGAAGCCATTTTAGATTAGGTAAGGATCCCTTGTCTTTAAACAGCACAGGGGCAGGGGCAGAGGGAGCCGGCGCAGCAGCTCATACATGTCTCTAATTCCAGCACTTGGGAATCAAGGGGAAGAGGACTACTGCAAATTCAAGACCAGCCTAGTCTACAGGATGAGTTCCAGGCCAGCCAGAGCCACAGGTTTACATTACATAAACTGTCAGGTCCCTTCCAGGCCTTGATTTGTGGTTCACTTCACAATATCAGCACCTAACCCAAAGCCTGGCACAAAATAAAAGTTTGAGAATGATTAGCTCTTCATTGCCCTAAGTAAGTGAAAGCAGGCATGCATGAATGAACAGTCAGCAACCAGAACTCCTTGGTGCTATTGTCCATCAGGGTGCCTGGGATAATTCAGCTGGGAAAGGAAACTGACTGACACATAGCCCTGCTAATCACAGAACTGGTCCACCAAATATCACAGCTCACAGGACTCAAGACTAATTAAATACCATCCCCTACCGTCCTCTGTGTATGCCTGTGTAGGGGGCACAGCAGAGTGCCTGCCCTCACCCAGTTTCACAGGGAAAGCTAAACCTTAAACAAAAGTAAAGGTGCTTGGCCTAAAAACACACAGACAAAAAAAAAAAAAAATCTGTGTCCTGCCACCTCTTCACCACATCATGCCCAACAGCTCTATCTGAGCCTCACTGTGGTCATTAGTAAAATGAAGGGAATATTCCTAAGCCTGCCGCCCTTATGAACATGTTATAGGCATCTAACGAATTAATGAGTGTGAAAGGGGTTAGTCCGCTGTAAAGCTCTTATAAGCCTACGTCATATATCATACTCCCTAAAGGATTAGTCATGGTCAATAAATTATTACTGTTTATATGACTGGTCTTTCCTGTGGTTTCCTCATAATAGCACTGAGCATTTGTAACCATTAAAATTTATGCTTTTACTGAAGCAGAAGATGCTCTGGTCTCAGTGTCCCTAAGTCTCCCTAGGAGCTATTTGTAGAGGCTGCCACAGCATCCCAGAAATCACAATTGCTCTTTACCCTTCCGTCCCAGGCCTGACCCAGAGGCTGCCGTGCTACAATGTCCAGTTTCCATCCTTTTCCCATTCCTTCCTCTACAGTACAAAGGCCTCACAGTCAGTTCAACTTAAAGGTGATGGCACCCAAGCAAGTGGACGGATGGCCTCCCTCCACTAGCACCATTGCATGGAAGTAGGTGAAGAAAGGAAGTCAGGTGCTACACTGAAGACTCGGCTTTTGCTGTTACAGTGGGCACATGCTACAAAGGCATCATTTTGTCTGGGCTCTTGCGTGGTGGTAAGGAGAGAAATGGCAATTTGGCGCAAACTGAGCCACTGGCATTGCAGAGGAGAGCAAGAAGGGCCAAGGTGGAGCATAAAGAAGCTGAGCATTAGGCTTTAGGGCTACAAGGACTAATTTCAGTTCTACTTGGCAGACAGAGAAATGAGGATCAGAGGATAAGCATGAGGACTCAGCATGAGCTCTCACCCAGCTCTGCCAGAACACAGACCTCTCATCTCCCACTCTATCTAGAACAATCCCTATGCACACACAGCGCCATCTTTGTCTTTCCCTTCCTCCCAGGACCAGCCTCAGAGAGTGAACTGTAACAGGGAAATATAGTTTCTGCCGACTCCTCAGCAAAGAGAGAGGGGGTTCCTAAGTCACTGGTAGCATTCTCCGAGCAGTTCCACAATTACTCAGGGTACACAAGCTTGGGTCCCATGCTGCCACTGAGACAGTAATGGCCACAGGCTGGAAATGTGTCAAGGGGTGAAGCATGTTCCTTTGTCTCATATGAGAAACGTGAAATGGGGAGAGGTCAACTTTGACTATAACCTTCTACTGAAAGAGTAAGTCACAAATGCTGGAACAAGACTATAGCACTTGGCGACCACAGACTGCAGAACCCACGCAGACAGAGAACATTCGCGATCTTTCCTTGTCTCACAGGCAGATGACTCTAGTTGAAACTCCGTTTCTTTTGAATCTTCTTTATTAACATCTGTGACAGCCAATGTATCATCCAGTTACTGGCTGGGAAACCATCTCATGCCCAGTTCCATCTCGTAGAGTGTGAGGAAGCGAGGGGGCCTGCCACCTGTTGGCCCTCCCTTCCCCCACAAAGCAGGCTACATGTATAATAGCAGACAAGGCCATGGAAAGACTGCATTTACTTGGTGTAAACCTGCCTCACGACACATGCTGCCTGTCCAGCAATAATGAGCGAAAGAGGCAGACCAAGGTTGAAGAAATCCATCATCTGCCTATGAGCAAGAAAGGATCTGCCAAGGAAAGGAAATCACAGAGGAAAATGCAAGACCAGTATTTATTTTGTCTTTTTAGTTCAAGTCACAGAAAGTATCTGGAAGAATTAGAAAATAACTTTCTTTGGGGAATTCCACAGGAAATGAAATTATCTCAGGCAAAATTAGAACTAGAGCAAACAGACGCAGTCGATATCTTGGAGATCACTGCATCCCACCCTGCCACTTTACCACTGAAAAGAGCGTGCCAAGAAGAAAGTGAGTTTCACAGTTGAATGGCAGTCGAACTGGGCAGAAAACCTATGTCTGCTGGCTGCAGGAATGATTTCTTAGTTATGA